TAAAACATTAGTCAAATGTACAGGTTGTAGTAAAACAAATTTGAATACAAATAAGAGCTACTTAGTTAAAAAAGACATAAACAGAAGCAAAAGAGCACTCAGAAAAGGTGTAATTAAAAGAAAAAAAGAAAACAAGTTCTTTAGTAGAATCCTATTAGAAATGCTAGATTTAAACTAGGTAAATCAAATAAAAAACATACCAAGTATAGCTCTAGAGACTCAAATATATATAGATTCTCGAGAGAACCAGATAATTAAATGATATATTGTTAACAAGAGCTATAGTGACAAGCTAGTAGAATTAGCTCAAGGTTTATCTACAAAAAGCAAACTAAATATATATATAGATGGGCACTGAAAATTGCAGAGAATGATCTATACCAAAAAAAAATAGGAATAGGCTGGCTAATTATCAGTAAACCAAACTCTAATAAACCCTCAATAATAGAGCAATTCAAAGAAGTGATTAAAGACTAGCTTTCTTCAACCCAAGCAGAGTTAGAAGTAATTGGTATAGCTTTACTAGTAGTTCTATACAGATGTAGAGTTAAAATATATACCAATAGTGTTAATGCAATTAGTATAATCCAAAAAGTTCAATCTGGCCAGAGAAGATCCAAAACATTCAAGCTTAAAAATAGCAGTATACTAGCAATAATTACAAATATAGTGTTAGAAAAGAAGCTAGAGATAAAATTGATTAAAGTTAAAAGTCATAGTGGTGTATACTTTAATGAGCAAGCAGACAAGTTAGCAAAGGAGGGTGCTAAGCTTGATGAAATCTTGGAATTAAATATAAAATGGTCAAAAATTCTAAAGGTAATACCTAGGTGGAAACAATGCATAATAGATATACCAGTTAGAGAAATAGTAGATAGCATTACGAATATGTATTATAGCATAGAATGATTACAAACAAGTAGTATAGAATACATAAAGAGTAGTTAGATAACAAATGGAGGAATAAATTGGAAAGTAATACATGTATAAGAAGGAACACAGATTACTACTGTAGAAGTATGAAAAATAGTAGAAAATAGGTATTTGATATAAAGAGTTTAAATAAACTATTGACAACCCTAAGTATTTTAAATCAAAGAAGACCAGATCTATACTTAAGTAATATATGTATAGCCTGTTGTAAAGAAAAAGAAGATATAAGTTATCTAGCCCAATGTAATATTTATGAAGATTTTTGAAAAAGAATAGAGAAGAAGGCTGTAGAATTAGCAATAAAAAAACAACAAGTAGCTGATAAAATATCGAAGAAAAAAAATGCACCTTCGAAAAGTAAAGTAGAAATACTAATTAGGCATATAGCTATACAAAGAAGAACTAACAGATTAAATTGTATAAGAGGGCTTTTTTATAAGCAAGCTGGAATAAGTAAAAAAGAAAAAAGCCTCAAAAAACAGTACTTATATCTTCTAAGAAAAGATTTTAAAGAGATAATTTGGGCATTTAGATGCGAAGTCATTAACAAGTAGAAAAAAAAAATTAGAATTCTAACAAAGGAAAAAAGAAAGAAAAGAGAAAGTCTAGTAGCAGAAAAAAAACAAAAAAAGCTGGCGGGAACAATTCAATCAAATCAGGATGTTAAAAAAAACAAGATATGGGAGAAAGTAAGAAAGCATATACAGAATCTAGTACAGTGTAACATCAAACTGGCTTGGTCAGGTTTATATAGACTACATATCTGAAAATCTACATAAGCAATCCTAACGAAGCTAGAAACTGCTATCTGCAGATCCAGAAGATTACTTCCAAGAAGTTGAAAGCCAAAGAGGAGGAGAATAGTTGCTGCGACAGATTGTATCTGGGTATTTTAAGGCAGCCGAGTAAGCTTTTATTGCAAAAAAAGAAGGGTTAAGAGCAATAGTTTAAAACCTTTGTATAATAGTATATATATTCTTTATTCAATAAAGACAGGATTGCCAAAAAAAAAATAGTAACAAAATTTTAAAACCAAGATAGCTTATATTAAAATTGCAATAAATATAGACAAAAGAAAAACTTTATTAAGAAAAAATTAGTCAATTTATCTAGACCAAGGCAAAACTTATAGAATAATTTCAGAAAAGTTTAATAGTTTTATACTAAAAAAAACAGAAATAAATTCAAAAACACAATTTACAATATATTTAAGATAGTACTTAATAGCTTACTCCTATAGCAATTAAAAAGATACAATATCTAGATAGTGTATATTAAACAACTATAATGATAAAGCAAAAAAGCTTATATCTATTTCAAATTAGAAAAAAATTTTATTCAAGTACAAAAAACTAGCTTATACTATTACAACACCAAGTTAAAATAGTAAGTAAATTTAGGCACCATTAAGAATAAAAGCTTTTCAAAAAGAATTGTTATAATAATAGAAAAAAAAAGTTAGCTAATAAAGCTAAGATATATACAAACCAAAGTTTAGACAAAGAGCCAAAACATATAAAGTTCTCTAAGAAATTAAACAGTTACTACAATAATAATAAAGAAAACAAACTTACTATTAGTAGTAGCTCTTAAGATAGTTACATGATTATATATATAGAAGTTTGCCTTTTAAGAGTATACAGTATACAGTATAATAAAGCAAAAAGTAGTAATATATATAGTTTAAAGAGTTTTTCTAGGCATCTTTGGCCAGAGGTATATAACTTATATATCTCTGGTCTCTTTGGCCAATCAAAGAACACGAAAATCACATGACTAAGGTTCATGTGGTTAATTAGACTGCCAATGTAAGATCGAACGATCTTACCCTGCCCGGATAATAGTGTTCCAAATCATCAAAAATTTTCCAATCAATTAGTTGACTAATTCAAAAATTTTCAATCGATTAGTTGTTAACTAATCGATTTATCAATTTTAGTCAATTATTTTATTATAAATTGACAAAAGTTTTCAATCGATTAGTTGTTTTTTTTCAAAATTTTTCATTCGATTTATCGATTAGTTGACAACTAATCGATTTTTCGATTTTTGATTTGTATCACTACCAGATAGGTAAGTTCTTCTTTGGCACAATGATCATCTTTGATAATCATTGTTTTTGATTTTTTTTTTTTCGCGATAACTTTCTTTAGCTCTTTCTTGTCTTTTTATTTTTTTCTTCCACCTTATTAATGTTTCGCTTTTCTTTTAAAATGTTTCTTTGGCATTTCTATAGAGGTAACCTTTTTTTTTTAATATGTTCTTTGGAATTCTCAGGTATTTTTAGTGCTTTCTTTAGTGTTTTTTTAAGCTTTTTCAGTGTGTTTATTCTAGGAACTTTTGACGTTATATAGTGTGTCTCTGTGCTCTTCCGGCAATGTAAAGTGAATTCTCAATTCGGCATTGTGGATCTTCTGGTGTTTGTCCTTGGGCATTTTTTCGGCATATGAATCTTTGGTGTTTGTCCTTTGTGTTGTAAACCTTCTGGTATTGTCCTTGGGCATATTTGGCATTGTGTGTGAACTTTCTGGTGCTTGTCCTTGGGCATATTCGGCATTGTGTGGTGAATTCTCTAGTGCTTGTCCTTGTGCACTTTCGACGTTGTGTAGTGAATTCTCTGAACATGTCCTTGGGCACTTTCAGTATTATGTGGTAAATTCTCTGGTGCGTGTTTTCGAGCACTTTCGGCAGTGTGTGGTGAATTTTTCTTGAACACTTTCAATGTTGTGTGATGAGTTCTTTTTCTTTGGTGCTTGTCTCTGATATTGTGTGATGAATTCTCTGGTGCTTGTTCTTGGGCACTTTCGGCATTATGTGGGGTGTTTGTTCTTAAACACTTTCAGTATTATGTAGAATTCTTCTTGGCAATTTTGGTGTTGTGTAGTGAATTCTCTGGTGTTTGTTCTTGAATACTTTTAGTATTATGCCTGGTATTTGTTCTTGGGCATTTTTGGCGTTATGAATTCTCTGGTGTTTGTTCTTGAAACCTTTGGCATTGTGTGGTAAATTCTCTGGCATTTGTCCTTGGGCACTTTTGGTATTATGATGAATTCTCTAGTGTTTGTTCTTGAACACCTTCAGCATTATATGGTGAATTCTCTAGTGTTTGTTTTTGGGCACTTTTGGTATTTTGATAAATTCTCTGGTGTTTGTTCTTAAACACCTTTGGTATTGTGTGGTGAATTCTCTGGTGTTTGTCCTTGGGCACTTTTGGCACTGTGATGAATTCTCTGGTATTTGTTCTTAAACACTTTCAGCGTTGTGGTGAATTCTCTAACGTTTGTCCTTGGGCACTTTTGGCACTGTGATGAATTCTCTGGTGTTTGTTCTTAAACACCTTCGGCATCGTGTGGTGAATTCTCTGATGTTTGTCCTGGTGTTCTTGAACACCTTCGGTATTGTGTGGTGAATTCTCTCCAGCGTTTGTCCTTGGGCACTGTGATGAATTCTCTGGTGTTCTTAAATACCTTTGGCATTGTATAGTGAATTTTCTGGCGTTTGTCCTCGGGCACTATGATGAATTCTTTGGTGTTCTTGAATACCTTCGGAGTTATGTGGTGAATTCTCCAGAGTTTGTCCTTGGGCACTGTAATGAATTCTCTGGTGTTCTTGAATACCTTCGGAGTTGTGTGGTGAATTCTCCAGCATTTGTCCTTGGCACTGTAATGAATTCTCTGGTGTTCTTAAATACCTTCGGCATTGTGTGGTGAATTCTCCAGCATTTGTTCTTGGCACTGTGATGAATTCTTTGGTGTTCTTGAATACCTTCGGCATTGTGTGGTGAATTCTCTGGTATTTGTTCTTGGGTACTGTGATGAATTCTCTGATATTTGTTTTTGACATCTTTGGCATTGTGTGGTGAATTCTCCGGCATTTGTCCTTTGGCACTTTTGGTGCTATGATAAATTCTCTGGTGTTTGTTCTCGGCATTGTGTGGTGAATTCTCCAGTGCTTGTCCTTGGGCACTTTCGGCACTGTGATGAATTCTCTGATGTTTGTTCTTGAACACCTTCGGCATTATGTAGTGAATTCTCTGATGTTTGTTCTTAGACACTTTTGGTACTTTGATGAATTCTCTGGTGTTTGTTTTTGAACACCTTCGGTGTTGTGTGGTGAATTCTCCAGCATTTGTCCTTGGGTACTTTCGGCACTGTGATGAATTCTCTGGTGTTTGTTCTTGAACATCTTTGGCATTATGTAGTGAATTCTTTGGTGTTTGTTCTTTGGCACTTTTGGTACTTTGATGAATTCTCTGGTGTTTGTTCTTGAACATCTTTGGCATTGTGTGGTGAATTCTCCAGTGTTTGTTCTTGGGTACTTTCGACACTGTGATAAATTCTCTGGTGTTTGTTCTTGAACACCTTTGGTGTTGTGTGGTAAATTCTCCAGTGTTTGTTCTTGGGCATTTTTAGAACTGTGATAGATTTTTTGGTGTTTGTTTTTTCTTAAATACCTTTGGCATTGTGTGGTGAATTCTCTAGTGTGTCCTTGGCAATTTTTGATTTTTTTTTGTATTTGTTTTTGCAGTGTTTTTTGGTAGTATTTTTAGTAACCAATAAAAAATAATACTTTTTAATAAAAAAAATTTAAAAAACAAACTTTTTTTTGTATTATTAAATTTGATTGGCCGATTTTTCATGTTCGGAAAGTTAGGTCGGATTTCGGATTGCACAAAATTTTCCGATTCGCCGACGATTCGAAAAATAGGCCACGTGACCTTTATTCGTTTTAATTGGCTAATAAGCCAGAGATATATAAGTTATATATCTCTGGCCAGAGATGCCTAGAAAAACCCTAGTTTAAATAAAGCAAAATTCGAAAAACAATAAAAAGCAAATTTTTAAGGATATAACATGATTAATACAAGCTCTGCCTCACAATTAGCATTTTGCAATATTTCTAAACCCGAAAAAGAAAACAAAAAAAAGACCAAAACATAGCCAGATAATTTATTATACATATAAATGCAGTTTTAAAATTAGCAAAATTCGGTTTAAAAAAAAATTTTATTAGTAAAATCTAAAATTTTTCCGATATAATTAATCCTAAAATTTAAAGATAAGTTAATTTGTAAGTTGAAAAGAATGTTGAGCTTAAAGTTTATAGTGAATTTATATTTTTTTAATAAAAAAACTCATATACTGTATTACTATATGTGACATATTTCCTGACTGGTACTTATTAAGTACTCTGATAGGTTTAGTATTGTTATCGTTATACGTACTATATATATATATATATATATATATAATTAGTTTTTCAAAATTGGAAACTGATTTTTTTTTTAAAAAACAAAATTCTAAATCTAATAACTACCGAAAAGACAACGGCAAAATCGAACATGGGCGCGAAAATAACTTTCTTAATTTTCACATGCATGAATAATATCGATATGTAATATGCAACACTACGTATTAAAATTAATAAATTTATTAGGGTCAACTAAAATGTATTCCAGGTTATAACCTGTATGGATAATGAGAAATTGCCACTTACCTAGAAAGACTTAACAGGTATATATATATATATGATTACGTCTTTTGAAGGTAGGCATTCTGATCATGTGATTTTGTGGGCTGCTTTGAAAAAATTATTATTCATAGCAATTTCATTGGTGAGGAAGAAGAGAACACTATGTGTGTGAATATTAAACGATGATAAATCTGGCATGCATTAAAGGTGTCTTTTTTAACTAAGTAGCTCTTATTTGTATTCAAATTTGTTTTACTACAACCTGTACATTTGACTAATGTTTTA